CAACGACTTTGCACAATTACCAATTTCCGGACTTGACTAGCTCCATGACAACCGATTAATCACCTAGATTTATATTGAACCATTTTGAAATCATCTTGAGGCTTAAAGTGTAATACTTAAGTGATTTTGATATTATGAAACATCTACAGCCTGGAAACAATCCATTGATGGTAAATGTGCATGACGAATACTCACACTATAACCATAAATTCATGGATATACTCTCTCTTATTCCACATATTTATCAGTCTTTATCAGTCTTTTTTGTTCTGTCTTCGTCTCTCTCGTTGTTTCTCTCTCATATATTTAATAATAATAATAATAATAATACTCAGTTCTTTTATAGCGCATAACACATTACAGGATAGCATGTCCCTATGCGCTTCAAATAGAAAGGAAAGAATTACAAGAAAAAGTCATACACATTAGAAAATCCACTTAGAAACAAAGAAGTATACATGTAGTGTTGGACGCTGAGTTCATGAATGTACAATTTTAACATTGAATAAATACGTTTTAAGAGAAACCTTAAACTTGTTCAAATTATTGTGATTTGTCATGGAATCTGGAAGTGAATGCCATAAGACTGAGGATTCGTGCATAAAAGAACGTTCACCGTATGTTTTTGTTGAGGTGGGAGGAACAATAAATAATGATTTTGAGCTTGATCTTAAAGTACGAGTAGGCCGATATAATGATAAAAGTTCACATAAATAAGAAGGGGCAATGTCATGAAAGCATTCGTATGCAAAAACTAATAGTTTAAACAAAATACGGGAGTGGACAGGAAGCCAATGCAGATTTCGTAGTACAGGAGTATTGATTCGTATTTCCGAGTTCGGGTCACTAATCTTGCCGCTGAATTTTGAATAGTTTGCAATTTTTTGATTTGTCGCTGAGGAAGACCGAAAAGAAGACTGTTACAAAAATCAATGTGGCACAAAACAAATGCATGGACTAATTTTTCAGTGGTGGACCTATCCAAAAAAGCACGTATTTTTCCAATCCTATACAAAGCATACGAAGCAGCGCGACATTTTTGAGATATAAAATTCTCAAATGTCAACCGACAATCAATATATTTGTCAACATTAGGTGACTGACAAGGTTAAATCCCAAGGCTATGTAATACCTCTTCATACGACAGTTTGTCAAATATAGCCTGATACGTAAATGAAGGCTCCTCCTATTCGAATAGTTTTATTCACCTCAGGGAAAAAATGCACCCTACCCTTATGTAGGGCTTATACGGATCAACACTAAAAACATAATCCGGTTACTTTATTAAGTAGGTTAGAAAATTGCCTGATTATTATCTAATCATCATTTCCTTGATACCACGAAGAAAACACCAATTTAAAGAGTACCTTTATATCATGTAGTAACAACAAGTTAAAACGATGCAGATTATTGTGATCTTCAGTAGATCTTGTATAAACCATTTAGTAGATTGTAGTTATAGTAAATAATTATGTATGCCGAGTGAAGATGAATACTGGCATATCTAATCGTGATTACTGAATTTTGCTCTTCCATTTCCAATGACCTTAGAATGCAACACATATAGAATGCCCAAATCATATGCAGCTATTACTATATTTATAAAAGGGTCAACTAAATAGTGTCATTGTACAATATACAAACAAGATAACATCTCCATGACACACCCTCTAACTCTCTTTTCATATTGCACGTGCCTTCACGCCCCTCTTGATATCTTTGTTTCAGGTTTTATATATCTTTAACGCTGCACCAGTATAGCCATAGGAACCCGGTTTTATGAGGCTATACATTGAATTTCTGGTTTATATGAGAGTCATGGCCATATGACCTAAATAATCGAATTTCTTAATTTTCTTCTACCCGATTCCTTACACGCTTAGCCGCAGTATTCGTATTTTAGCGGTCTCGTTCTCTTCCAATATTTAGTGTTTGAATTGAAAATATTCACCAATATAAGTGTGATTAAATTATGCCAACAACGAAAGACCAAGGATTGATATTGCTGAATTATTCTCCCTATCTGACGCCACCTTAATGTGAACCAATAATTGTTTCACTCTCTATTCTATTGGCCGATGATCAGAGTCATGATATGGTTACACTGTGGATGGCGCTTATGATCTAGAAGGCCATCGACATGATAAAATCGTTAGTTTCTCTGACCTCTCTATCTTGCATATTTTGTGGTTATTATGGTAAATTGTATGGTTAAAATAGAATATAAGCATTGATCTATTTCTGATAAATTACTGATAAGTTAAAATTTCCATACTTTGTTTACAGTGTGTTGTGAATTTATTAATATACATGTATTTATATATAATATACATGTATATAGTTTTGTGTGTCTATATATGTCGGAAGTTAAAAGGTATACATGTATATACAATTGTCACTTTGTGTTATAAAAAGCCTTTTAAGTCTGACTTGACAAATTTTCAGATTAGTCTTGAAGAAATATTTCCAGCCAGAAAAAAATGCTTTGATTAATATTATTACAGAGATATGTAATGTGAACATAATGATAATCCCATCAACAGATTTCGGCGATATTACCGAAACGGGTATTGAATTAACGATTTGGTTTGAATTGATTTGATTTGTTTTATTGTCCAGATAAATGGAAATTCTTTTCACATATGGTTACAAAGTATATAGGCCTACATCAAGCACAATTTAATTGAACAAACTTCCAATTACACATTACTTATTAATCACCGAGTAAGTCGTATTAATATTTAAAAATTAATCTTTATAAAATCAACACTAAATTCAAAGACATTAAATCATGCTTTTAAATTTTAACTATTATGATCAAATGATCTCATTAATTACTGTTCATTTAATTTCAATATTCATATATAAATGAAATTAATCAATTTAAATACCATAATATACTTGGTATCAAAATATATTCACGGTATCGCCCCTCCCCTTCCTATTACCTTCAGAAATCATCTCATCTTAGTACTTTACTTTTGAACATGTGGATGGAATCGGGGACAAACGAGTCGCTTTGGTACGGGGGACACAAGGCGAACACCAGATCTATTGAAACTAAAATGACTGAACAAAAGAATGGTTGGATCTTTCATAATACGCATGACCTTAATTAGCTTTTAATGAGGAACTGTTCGCGTGGGTGATAGCTTTTATCCCTACTTGTGAGGACAGAGAACAATAACCATCAGATAGCGTTACAATAGTCCTCAGATGTCAAACAATGATATAAGTCTTATTCCGTTAGGCTTCCAAGGACAGGAAACAATGGAGGAACAAATGCTACCCTCGTTTGTAAAGCCATTAAAGAGATGTATGCCGTGTGTGTGCGTGTGTGTTTGTGTGTGTGTGCGTGTGCGTGTGTGTGTGTGTGCGTGTGCGTGTGTGTATATGTGTGCACGTGTGTATGTATAAGCAATTCATATCAATATGGAAAATGTTTATTCATTATATTCAATTGTATGTTTTTGTTTGTATTACACATTTGGAGAAATAAAACAAATTTGAAGGAAAAAGTGTGTGTGTGCGCGCGTGCGTGTGCGTGTGCATGTGCATGTGTTGTGTGTGTGTGTGTCGTGTATGTGTGTGTGGCGGTTTTCCCCAAGGCTTTTAGATATTCGTATCAATCAGAAAATTATTTTTTAAAAAATGACCAGCCTTTTACGTCACCATCCAAGAGACGCAAATCTGGAACGAACCTGAATCTTACTCTGTTATTAAACATGACTCCTTGTATACTCATATCATTGTTTCTAGATAGTTTTCTCATACTGATGCTTTCACAATCTTGGCAAATTGCCAAAGCCTTAAATATATAATTTGAAATGTGATATGTGAATGATACCAATCATGGGAGCAACTAAATTAGATTTAATTGTGCACAATCTTGTTTGCTTTTTTGTAACGATTCCCAAGATGGTGCACATTATATCGATCATTACCATGACATCCTTTTACCCATGTTTTTATGCGATCCACGTTTTTATGCGAAAATCATTTTCATGCGCCAACCTATCTTTTACTAAATTGGTCCCCCCCCCCAAAAAAAAAAAAAATCTGCATATTACCTACAAAGTATAATTGTTTAATTCATTGTAGCATCTATTTGATTTTACAATTCCTGGATTTGGTTTCTGTTATTAAGAACATACACTACCCATCTGCCTATGCAACATTTATTCTTTTCGAATTTCAAAAAAATATATCTATTCATATATTGTATACGTTCAATATATAATGTTATTGCAAATATGGTTAAAATATTCAGATTTCTGTATAATTATGTATACAAGTAATCTGCCATAAAGTACAGCGATGGCTTCCCGACACAGGCTCCGGCGGCGGTTGCTCCAGGCTTTTTTCATCAGGGATGTAGGGTTGGGTTTGAATTTGGTTTTAGGTTTTGGGCTGGGTTTGTGCTTGGTGTTGGGGTTTGGTGCGGTGAAGGTTTCTTGTCCGGGGTTGAGATTGGGAGTTTGATTAATGTACTGAATTGCCGCGGCGTAATTGTAGCCTGAGCAGACGGTGTCGTAGAAGAACAATTTCATATTATGTACAAAACGGATTGGAATTTTACTACCATAATATTATGCGCATATGTATTACATGTAATTTTACTTTGTCACTGATGTAAATACTTTGTAAAAAGAAACTGCAATTCGGCTCTCTCATTTTTTTTTTTATAGAATTAAACCATTTTAAATAAATAAATAAATGACTAAAACCCTGTGTTGCTGTGTTGCTGAGTTGACCTTTAGACCAACTCATATCAGCCGAGATCATGAAGGTTCATATGGTCATTTACTTTGCCAAATAATGTAATATAAATATATATTGCAGTTTCACATCATCTTCGGTATCTCTTTATCGTTTTCACTCATTTTTTTTAATTAAACAATAATTGTGCATAAATATGCATAAATCGATATCATTGGGCCTACTATTACTTCTTGTTTGTTTGGTTCTTGTTTGACGTTTGTTTTTGTATTTGCCAACAGTATGGAAATGTGTAAAGGTATCGGCCGAAGTTGCAGCGAGTGGGATCGCAACTGTGTCCGCGTACATCATGATGTTGTTGGCATACCTGACCTACCTCAATCCGATACCCTTCCTGGTTGCTACCACTAAATCACTCTTCACAAGACAACGTAATCGACGGATGCTTACTTACAAGAACTATCAACCCGTCACATATAAACCATCCATGATTGAAAGATTTAAAAACACAGTCAAAAGTGGTGAGTATTAATTGGAATGTCCAACGGTGGCCTAGGAAACAATCATAAATTAGCATATAGGAGAAATCGGGATGTCGATGTAAAGAGGGAAGAGGTTATAGAGACAGTGAGAGAGGTATGGGAGAAAGAGGGAATAACAGGGAAAGAGGGAAGAACGAGAAGATGAGAGACAGAGATAGAATGAGAGCTTGAAAAATCACATACATGATCCATGTGGAATAAAGATGGAAAATTATTCTAAGTTTGATAACAATTGTGTCGAGTGATACTTTCTCGGAGCAAGAGCATAACATCATACCTTATTATTAGGCGAAACAATGTGGAAAGTGAGATCGTACCTTTTTTTAGGCAGAACTGGTTATATATCCATGTCAAAAATTAAATTTGCGACCCTCACATGAAATACAGAACTTTATTAATTTTCTCTTCTGCACTTCACCATTGATCAACGACATCTTGCAATCATTTCACTCCAGTTTCATTATTCACCGCCATTTTCCTCACACCCATCCTCACCTATTTCACAGAGCGGTCCCTCAAGAGTGAACTGATGATTTGGCTAAACACAAAACTTCCCCCTACTGTCGTCGTCGATGACTTCAAGGACAGTTGGTCGAACGGAGTTTGCCTGTGTTCCCTGATCGAAGCAGTAGTGCCTTCTACATGTCCTCGCTATGATCTTCTCAAGCCAGCGAATCGCGTCAACAACTGTCGACTTGGAATGACTCTCGTTCGAAAAAATCTAGGGATCGAAGAGGTATGGTATCTTAACTTTTCAGAAAAAGAGTCGTTACCATTTTCATCTGGTTTAAGTAATTAAATATGTAGGGTTAGGGGTTAGTCAAGATGTGATTTATTACAAAGAGTAGAAGGCCTCTAGATCCATTTTATTTGCCGTGTTCTTCGGCAAATGTTCTTGACAACGAATTACATACCTCTCTCGCCTCAGGGTTGACAGTGGCATAAGGCCCATTTTCTACGTTTGCCATTCCCAGCAATAAGAACACATTTTGATTCGCAGGTTCAGGCAAGCCACCTTTTTGTTGGGTCAAGGTTTGCATGAGTTCGATTAGTATTAGAACTTAACTGCAGAACAGAAGCATAAGACGTAGGTATAATCTCGATTACCAGCTGGCTATTTGCTTCATGAAAAAGAATTTCAATATGCAAACACCTATGATGTGGTGTAAATCAACTTGTGTTCGGTTACTTCGTCGAATATTTCTCATCATGAAAGCGATTAAAATGTATTTAATCAGCATAAGGTGCTCGGCGCATTGTTATATTTGAAACTTTGATAAACCACAATCAACTAACCAATCAACCGATCAATCCACCCACCCATCAATCAATTAGAAAATAAATTAAATAAATTACATTATAATAATAATAATAATATTTAATTTTTATATAGCGCTTAATACAAAAGTCTCTAAGGGCTTTACAAATATATTAAATTATATTAAATAAATTAGTTATTTGAAATGTTCAACGGAAGAAAAACACCAATATATAATAATAAGTAAGTATAAATAAGTTTACATTTTCCCTATTTATCACAGCCAATGGAGCCCGAGGATATGTCGATGCCATCTCGAACAAGCGAAACAAAGCTTCTTCGTTACATCCAGTCCATACGTTATGCCAGTACGATACCAGTAGAAACCCCTTCCCACAAGACAGGTCCCTGGAGCAATGAAGGGGCGTGGCCCAAGAAAGCCACTTTTGGTGAGGTGGTAGTGGACGAGGAGAGAAAACAACTTATGGAAGCCGATAAGGTACTATGTTATTAAATTCAAGAGATAATGTGTTGAAGTTTGTATAGACACGTATAACCTTGATTTTGAGTGAATATTAATAAATTACCCATACCAAATTAATTTTATTGCTGCATCAAGAGGAAAACTGATACGAACGGAAGAACAAGATGCTTCCTTTTCAAAAAGAGATCTCCCATTTTGTATTCATTCAAATAAACAATTATTTGGTAAAGGATAGATTTCAAAAATCGCGTATGGTGTTTTCTATTTTAGGACTAAATTTTGATTTATCTCTCCGAAGGTTGATTGCACGGCAAGTGGCAGTGGCCTTGTGATGGCGAAAATCGGCAAACGGGCCAAGTTTAACGTCTACACACCCAGATTTATTACCAAGAGTCTCTACATCCATATTAAAGGTGAGACACCAAAGTCACTTTATTGCTTTCTCTCTCTCTCTCTCTCTCTCTCTCTCCTTCCTGAAACATCTTCCTTTCATATACTGAGCAATGTTATAGACCAGTTCACGGTTAGCACATTACTGTACTGACCAGGAATGTCCACATATCTTCAAAACATGAAGAGGTCCCAATTTGTACATTTGGAAATAATCACTCCTAAAGCGATGGAGGTGCTACACAAATAGCCTTTGTTTCCTCTTTTCAAAGAATACTTCCACCTGTGTGTCATGGAGTGCACTGCTTGTGCATAAATGAATAATGGTTACATAACTTTCATGAGCACCTATCCAGTATTTCGTCTCCGTGTATTTCACAAAGATACAATGACCTTTATCTGATCTTGCTCATACTGCAAGTCTGCAACCGTGAACTGGCTTATTATCGACAATGTTATGTCAACACCCACAGGTGCGTCATAGATTCAAATGAAAATCATCTCTCTATCGTGATTTTTCTTTTGAGATAACCATCTGAGAATATTTGATGCCGCAACCTGGTTCAATCTGAACTTTATTGTTCAGATTAATTGGAATTCATCCAGGAGACTCTTGAAAGGGCAGATCAACGCTTGTAATAAGTTCATTTACATTAAAGAAGGAAATATTAAATGGAATGGCAAAAGTTAGAAATTAATCGGACCAATAACTAGAGATTTATGAATGTTTAAAATTTGAGATCACTAGAGCTATGCGAATCCCAAATTGGCAATTTTATAAGTAGATTTTAACGTAGTCACGATAACTCTCCCGTTTGTCCTGTATTATTCAAAAGATATTATGGATGGTATATAATTGTAGGTCCTCTAAAGAGCAAAGACCCCCCCTCCCCGAAGTCATGCATTTTGAAGAACAAAACAGAAGAAATTTCAGTCATTATTTTGATGTATTGGAACCAATTAAAAATTGTCCGGCACTACATCACAACGATTGCATAACCAATTTAGCAAATTTGAATTTCCCAAACGATAAAGTTATAACAAATTTTAAGAATCTTATTTATTTGGTCTGATTTCGCTCAAAAGTTCACCAATCTGCTTCTCTGATTTTGTGCCTTCTTTTAGATGTTTGTTCTATGCAGAGTAGTGCTTCATGTCAGATAAGACTTGTGTGAAAGGAGTAACAAGAGTAGCTGGACTTTACAGTGCGTCCCAGAAAAAACGAAACCGAGAATTATCGAGTTTTATCATAATTTAAGTTTAGAAAGTTTATTTTCTGCCCTTTATAGGACACCTCAATCAGGAAAATGAGCCAGGAATAACAAAGTTCTGTTTGTTTAAAGTTATGCTTGCATTTCCATAATTTGATTAATGCCTAGGTCACATTTGCTCTACGACTAGGATACGGTGGCCGTACGCCCCCGAAATCGAGAGATACTTGCGGCGGCCGCAAAGAATCTACTTTGGCCTCAGTGTCACCCTGGGTCGTATCCCTATCTTTACAGGCCATATAGGTCGCCGTGGAATTATAACGCGGAGTTATAACTATTTTCATTCTAGGTTCGTCGTAGCGATTAAACACGCCGTAGCCATGCCGTAAAGCGATTCAACGGCGACCGTACGTTGGGCCTACGGTGGCCTTGCGTTTTATTTACTCCAGGGTAAAGAGGTAGCATCAGTCTGGCCGCACGGTTGATGTATGGTCCCCCTTCGACCGCCTTGTGGGCACGTTGCGTCTGCCTTAGTATTTGTCAAAAACCTACGGTCGCCGCAGGGACGCTCTAAGGCGACCGTCCGTCATCACTTCAAAGGCCGTACGGCAGCCGCAGATTTTCTGTATCCACAAATTCAAAATACGCCGTGCGGCTACCCTAAAATAATTATGTGACCGCTACCGTATGTGACCGTGGGAATGCTGCGGCGGCCCTTCAATTGCTATTGGCCGTATATATTTTAGACCGCACGGCTGCCGCGGCAAATGTGACCTAGGCATAAACGAATTCGTTTTCACTGGCTGCCCGCCGTAGCAACAAACAGAGTTGACAAAAGACTTAACTCCGTTTCAGCCATGCACAAAGAAGACGAAAGACTTGACTATTTTCAAAGGTTTAGGTAGATTCCGGACTACAAAAAGGGGTTACAATTCCGAAAATTGAGTCAAACATTTAAAGAGACACAAGAAGACAATTACGAGGGACATTCTGTTATTGAGCTATGCCACATTATCTTCTAAAAGGGGAGGGCACGGGCCGGTGTACCCCACTCTAAATCAACCAAAGACGAAAGTAAATATAGTGACACAAAAAAAACCCGTCACATTATATTAACTTCTTTATTTCGCCATTAAAGGCATCGTTTTACAATGTTAAATCTGAGATGCATGGCCCTACGTGTTATCAGTGTCTGTGAAATGGTGTCAAATTGAAGCCCTCCGAAAATTGCAGTTTAAAATGATCATGCAGTGCCTCAAAAAATTAAAAATATTTGAGTGACCGGTTTTACCATAATTATTTTCCCCAAAAGACTGTAGTGTTATAAAAACCGTTTTGAAAACGGAAAATTTGATTTCGATTTCCAATCAAAAATATCTTGACAGGCGATCGGCTTGTCAAAGTCATGGGGTTCCTGACTGACCTCAAGGTTTATAATTATCATTGCAGCATGAGCTAAATCTAGGATTTGTTTCAAAATCTGAGACAATGTTACCGAGTCACTTTAACAGGATAACAATATTTCAATGCATTAATAACTTAGAACTTTACTGATTTGAAGTACTGAAACTATTCATGATATTGGGTCAGGCATAAGTATGGCACAGTTTGACTATCTAGCATTGTCTATTACCTCGCCTCTCTACCGTATCGTTGAATTATTCATTCTTGATCATGATCTTTTTACAGGTCCTTTGGGAGAAAGTGTTCGACGGAAAATCATTAACCATCTCCCTGGAGGCCGCCCCCATCGTGATGACCCCGATTCTTCCAATATGAGTGCAGCCTCAGTAGATGAAGGTAACACGTCATCAAGTACGTCGTCAGCTTCAGGGGGTGTCATTCCTTGTGATTACCAGTGTGTTCGCGAAGGCCACTACGAAGTCAGTTACATCCCCCAATCTGAAGGAGCTTATGAGATAACAGTTACCTGGGGTGGAGAGCACATCCGTAATAGTCCTTTCATCGCGCATTCATCAGTAGCCGTGAAACGTTCTCTCCCAGATACAGACCCCTCGGACCCTTCTCGCGTTGTCTGCTTCATGCATGAGAATAAAAGTCAGGGTGACGCAGGTGTCGAAGACATTAATGAACCACCATCCGTGGAATCAACGAACAACGACATTCCTCTCGGCACAGCAGACTCGATCGAACAAGAGTACGCACCCAAATACAACGCGCGAACAAGGAGGCGACAGTCTTTCTGTCGTCAATCTCACGTCAATACTCTTCGAGAGTCCTACGAAAGCGGAGGAAGCACGTCACCTTACGACAGTCGTTGTAGCAGTATGATGACGAGCAGCACAGAACGCAGTATGGATAGTGATGTCTTCTACCCCTATGGCTCAGCGAGAACATCTTCCTTCATGAATGCTTCTCGTCGAGGTCTCATCAGTTCCTCGTCATCTAGAAGTTCTATGATGAGTCATCGAAGCAGTTCCATTTTAAGCAGTGGTGGAGACAGACCAGGAACAGTCAGAACCAGACGAAAGGTGGGTATTAAAGATATTTACCTAAGATAATCTAGCAATTCACTTTCCTACAAATTAAAGTGGGTTTCATTTAATAACAAGTTTTATACTAGGCCTACTTATCGTGCATTTGTAAAAATGTGTATCTATCTACAAAAATGATGAATGCGAATACGCAGAACTCTTCCCATCTTTGGTTTTTACCCCCTTATATCCCACGAATGCATTTCCAATTCTTGTTTGTTTTACTTCGTATTTTTCAAAAACTATTTGCGCGTTGACAAAAGGAAAAGATGGATTTTTAAAATAGATCGAGTATGATCAGGTTAGGGATATTTTCATTCCTAAAAGTATGCAACAATTCGCGATTCTTTTAATTGCTGTAAATTGATAGCCTGTGGTAGCCGACAACGTGAACGAAAGCGTGAAGAGGTTACAGTAAATATTTCGGGGGAAATCCGACACCGACAAGTAACAAACAAATTGCTAATTTTAGCACATTTCACTTTCTACATAGAAGGAATTTTGTCTACCTTCTGATTAAAGTAATAAATTTTCCTATTAATATATTCTTGTCAATATTCGCATTTTCTGCTTCATTCGTTCCGTGACATAACTAGGTTTCTTTTGAATTACAGACAGCTTAAAATCCGTGTGCGCGACACATTCTTTGTTTTGTTTCATTATTGTTCATAGAGAAAAAGTCATTCCAATATTTAAGATGATTGTAAAGATTCTGCTTGAATTGTCAAAGTACCGAAGCAGTGTTTCTAATTAGTATTTTTTCAATAGTGTGATTTAATGAATCAAAAGGGAGAGGTGGATCCTCTGAATATACATATACATGAACATTATTTGAATGCATAATGCACTTCAGAAAACTTTTCTTAAAATATATGATGTAAATAGAAAATAAGTTGTATACAATACTACAACACATGTCTTTGAGGGATATCGTTATTATGAGTATTATGGGAGAGTGGACTAGTGTTCGTGACTCCGAGTAAATGTATCATGTCCGATTTCAGTACATGATGATGCAGACGTTCTTCTCAGTATAATTTTGATATGACTTGAAATGTCACAAATTAAACAAGCATTCGTATATGATGTAATTAAGCAAAATGGAAAGTGATGGAAGAGATGGAAGACAAATTCTTCGTATAATATTCCGCAACAGAAAGTATTGGTTTGGTATCTGATTCTATTTTCTTGCGGGTATGTGTCTTTTCCGACAGGTGATTAAGCGCACTATTCGAGGGGCAGGTGGTAAAGAAGAAATACAGTATCCAAGTAGTGCCGACATGTCGTCTATGTCCAACACCTCCTCCTTCATGGGGATGTCTATGTCTGGATTCTCACCATCATACACCACTAATGACCAGTCAAGCGCAAGTGGTTCTCTTTCTATTAGCGATGAGCGTGTGACTACAGGAATGAGTAGCTCCACCTCAACGGCTCCATCTCCAACTGTTCTCGCTCCTGTTCCAAACTTAGCAATAGCTGACAGGGAGATTCACACCTTTGCTGATCGCGTTTCCAAACGGGTGATGGGGACAGCTATGTACGATCTTTCAAAGAAGGCTGTCCTTAAGTCCGGCACCTACTCAGGTCCAGCTTCTTCAGGAACAATGAAGGGTAACGACATTAAAAACCCAGGAGAGAAGCCCCTTGACTCTGGTCGTCAACTGTCTTTTGGTTTTGAGCAGAAGAATGTTGATCAGTCACTTTCAAAGGAAAATGCTACTCATATCACAAAAACTGTAAAAACACAAATGGATGATTCATGTCATAATCAAGTTACAAGCGAGGAAAGGGCCGCTCGTAGTAAAAAACCGCAAAGTCCTAAGTTCCTCGACATTTCCAATGGTATTGAGGACGTTGGCAACAAGCCAGTAGAATCCCAAAATACAATAGAATTTGAGCCACAGTTAGGAGTCGACTCTTCAAGAAATGCTAAGGAAAGCAGCTCAAACAGTTCTTCAACAACGACATCAGCAGAAAGAGAACATATAGACGAGGAATCCGGATATTCCACTCTGGAAGATAGTCTGAGGTCATCTGATCGAGCTCTCCATTTGCTTCGACAAGTCAACAATAAAGACGCACATACGAAGTCCATACCAAGTAAACACACCAGTGCTTTCGAAGTTCGGGGTTTTCGGCCGGTAGAGCCATCAGTTGAAAACACTGTCGATAACAAGGAAGTTCGCAGGGATTCTAGTGATCAAATACATACTCCGAAGCCTCAAAGACAATCTAAGAATCGACGTCGAACGGAAAAACAAACACAATGTACGGCTGATGACATCAAGAGAGAAACTGGGTGGATCAGCAGAAGAAGTGCCTTTACGAAACAAAAGCGAAGAGAACTAACTGAAACGTCTTTGGAACAAGTAAAACTAAGCAAGATGATATCCCCACAAACCACAACAACAAGCCCTGCTCTGTCAGATACAAGCGAAGGGCGTGAGCGCGTATCATTCCATAGAAAGAGGTTTGAAAGCAAGACACCTTCACTAGAGAATATTCGACAACCAACTGCTTCTAAAGCAAAATTAAGTTCTAGATCAGTTGCCAGGCAATCGACATTTGACAGCGGTTATTCTGATGAAAATGGACACATCCTCAGCCTCAATGGTCGTGACCGTTCAAACTCTTCCTCGAAGAATAAAATGGTACGCGTGGGTAATGACATTACTATGGCTAATGCCCAGATTTCATCAACACCTCAGCCCATACGGCCCGTTAGAGAAAAAGACGATATCGCTACAACAGCAAACAGCTACAAGAACCAAGGGAATGAGACCAAAACGTACGAGTCAGGGGCTGTACGCAAACGATTACAGAGTGGATCAGAGAGTGCACGAAATCAACTGCTCTCTGAGAAACCACGTCTTGGAGTTGAGAATATGATTGAAGACGAGGAAATTATAGCGGTTACCAACAGGCGACCAAGTTTTAGCGCCATTAATTTTGATCTTTCACACCTTCAACACGTGTTGGACTCGCAAGACCAAGAGCAAACTCCTGATCTATCACCTGGTCCTACCAAACAAATAGAAGATACCCCTACCATCGACAATCAGCCCTCTGATTCTGGTAATGGCGTATCCTTTCTGGATACCGATCGTAGTAGTGTGTTGAGTGACAAAAGGGATGACGGGACGAATCAGACGTCATATGATGTCACAATGGCCAGCTCGAACGTTTCTTCTGTTTACGGCGGTTCGTACCGTACCTTGAAGAATGATAAAGAGGTGCCAGTAAGTAAGCTCTTGGCAACTTTGGACAATGACCCTGACTTTACAATCCGAGAGTTCCTCCGGAAGTTCATGCCGTCTCTTGGTGGAAACCTAGGACCAACGTTCGCTGAGGATGTCCTGGGCAAGGATGCTGACAAGTTGTATCCGACTCTTGATGCCTTGGAGCAGGAAATGGATTCCTCCTGGTCAGAGCTCAAATCAAATATTCCATCAAGAGCAGGTGGTGAAACCAACAGTAAGAAGAGCAGCAGGAGACACACCCCTCGCGTTGGAACGCCTTTCAGTGCACAAAGTTCATCAGATAGCTATTTCTCCTCCATCAGACCATCCTGCTGTCAGGCGATGGGGATGGGTATCCATGAGGGCTTGGTAGGAGTCAAGAACAACTTCCAGGTTAGTATGTACATTATGTTTGTGGATGTATTATATCCAGCATCTGTCAACTTACATTATTATGTTGAACTTCAAGGTTGTTGTTTTTGAATTTTTTGAAGGGTTTACATTGACAGCAAAACCGAAACACGATTGTAAGGACTTTCACAAAAGTAATATAAGCAATTTCAGTAGCCTTGTGTGTCACCTGTCGAAATATGCGGACATGAAAATGGCGTATTACGTAATCCAAACATGATTTCTTTAATCAATATAATAATATATTAATACTGCCCTCACTATGATTTTTGAAAGTTTTCAGTATCTTATTTATTTTTGATGGGTATTTTATATTTGTTCTATTGGTCGAATATCACTTTCCATTCCATTTACTTAGTTTCAAAATTTAGTTTATTGATTAATATTTATTTTGAAATTGTAACATCCCCCCCCCCCCCCCCCATTTTTGGGGGGACTAATTAGGTTCGTGTACATAATATCACCTTTTATATTCGTTAGAACTTTTTTTTTCTTTCTGTGCATTTCTTGTGGAACAGATATCTCAAGATTGTCAATCGCATTTTCCTTCATAGTTGGCACAATGGTAGTAGTAGACATGATAACGTCATATGGGCGACATTTTGTGATTTTCGCAAATCCCTAATAATAATATATTTACCAAATAGCATAACAATTCCATATTACATATCATGGCACCTCATCTAATCGCGCAGTGCCTTTTATTTCATCAGGTGGAGACGTCGAATGCTGGTGAGGGTTCTATAGCTGTATTCATCCGAGGTCCTCGTCCCCATACCGTGTGTGAGACAAGCGTTACCTTCACCGGGGATGACCTGTACGAAGTGGTATACGAGGTCAATCTAGCTGGATTCTACGTCATCTCTGTCAAATGGGGAGACAAACACATACCTGATAGTCCATTCATCGTCCAGATATCTTTCTAAACCTTTCAAACCTGACTCAAGTCCAGAGGAGTTAATGTTGGTTGGTTGGTTGTTATTTTTTTTTTTACCTGACTGCTAAGAAAGCATAAATGCTTGTAAGCAAGCAACCAGACGGCCGACGGCGTTAGGTCCTCTACGAGGGACCTGGTAATGTGGATTATTGCCTTACCAAAGGTTCCAAACCGATTGATGCAGAAATCACATGAATATATAGACGGGGAAGGGAATTATATACATCGTATGTCATTTTTTAATGCATTCATTATATTTGTATAAATTCAATTAATATCTCATTTAAGACTTCCTCGTTTTATGAAATGGACTATTTCGATGAGAAACTGCTGCGTGGGAAATGCATCTTCAATGTAGTGTAAATTATGTTAGTGATGATAATATCATAGTCATAAAAGACAGAATATTATATGACAATGTCCACACTTTGGAGAGCAAAAAATATTATTACTGCTTTTTCGTAGAATTTACAATTAAACCTGTCTATGAAGGTCACCTATTAAAGGAAAAAGAGAAAGTGGCATCTGCAGACTTGTAGTCTTTCTAGACAGGATCTACAACAAATTTTTCTTTCGAGAGAGACAAAAATCATGACCACTATATAGTAGCCCTTTTAGAGAGGTGACCACTAGAGATTTGACCGTTTTATTGTCTTCTTGTAATTGACGAATTGCACAAAAGTAAGATTGTGATTTGATTGCGAATGTTCATATCTTCAAATGATTCAGTCTTGGAAAACTAAGAGTTTTGTGTCAGTAGCTACTTTTGTCACGTGCCTTTTTTTAAAGTCTTTAAATCTCTTATCCCTTGAATACATGCTGCATAAATCCACCATAAACAGTGGTTTTAGCTATATATTTACGTGTGTGCTGTATTAATGTTGTGGCTATTCTTGCACCTTTTGAAGGCGAATTCCAAAATGGCATGCCCGTAGTTGAAGTCCGAAATAACATCTCTATACTAAACAAACTGATTTATGACCTTAGGACTGTTCTTGCAAACTTGGAGCGATTATTCTAGCACTTTTTATCACATCAAATTTATATATATATATATATATATATTTTGTTGGGGGGGGGGGGGGTAATATGAGAATGGTATGTGTAATGTACAGCTTTGTATTGATATTTTATCGAATATGCCACTGATGTGTGCCTGTGTAATGTTTTTTTGATCCACCGTATATTTTACCTTGAACGATATTTATTACAAGAAGTACGTATAGATTAAAGAGAGCGATATTGATTGACCTGTTAACTTGACAGGGCCGCATAGATGGCCAACATGATGTTGAATGGGCTATACTACCCGAAGAAAAAAACCAAATGAATAAAATAAACAAAATAAATTATGTTATGAGTTATGTTGTTTTGCTAAATTTAAACAAATAACAGTATAATACCTGTGTTCAAACAAATAATTCGTTCTCTAATAGTAGCATGTCTCGGAGCTGTAACACTGATATGGCTTCTAAAGTCAGGCTCAATTTTGTTTGTTCTTGACTCGTTGGTATATTTTCAAGCTTGTAACACATCCTCTGTGTCTTGGGACAGTTACTTTAGAGTAAGAGCTCCTTTCTCATTTTGAAAACATTTACTGAATACTGCGTAGCGACACGTTTGAGCACCTTTCCAGATATTTATTTGGCTTCCTAGGGTACACTGTCAATAAATGTGCAAGGATCGCATTGCGAAATCATGAAAGCTCCAGTATCGTATAAGCAATTTTATCTATTCCTGACTTCATTTCTCTATTTATCCTTGTTGTTATTATTTTGGAAGAAAATGGTCTATATAATCATAGAAAAGAAACATATAAAAGAAAATATAATGAAATCATAGTCTATGATTTTGCAGGATATAAATGACGAATAGCCATGGAGTTTACATCTACGAATATACATAGAATGAACATTTTCATGTATATCCTTAAATATATTGCCAAGAAATGTATTATAAAGATTCTATTTATCAGAACTACATTATATTATTATACTCAAGCTAAAAAAGAGACAGGATTCTATTTGACATTGGTATCTTTTCATAATTTCTTTTGCATCGTGTGATTTTTATGAGTTTAAGGGTATGTTAAGGAGTGTCATCGTCTGATGACAATTGAAATTGTTAATGTTGCCAGCACAAAGCGCCTCCCAATTTCCTTCAACGTGATGGTTTAAAAGAAAAATGTCACTGAGCTATTTTCTTGCAAATAACTGAATAATTATAACAAATCTGTCGGGCCGTACATAACCTTTGCATATAGATATGTATTTTATAAACAAGGAAATGTCGGCAGATAATTATTCTCCTCTTTTTAAAGAAAATCAATAGATCTTTTATCAATTCCAATATATTTTCATTCGAATTACACCCGCACTTCTATTCATTGCCTGAAGTTTATATTTATATTGTGTGGTCTTCAATGCTCCCGCATTTAAAGATGAGAGGAAATAACATGACATTTGAAATGGTATAACGATATGTTTGTAATCTCATTATCACATCGAGAGTAGTTGTGGAAAGTAATCAGTATAATTATATAAAGTGTGTGTGTACATGTTTCATTAGGCATAGTGGTGAGTGTATTTGTAAAATTATGAAAGACTTGTTATTATTACTTCAGAATCATTACTATGATTTGATATTCATCAATATTTTACAGAGAAAGTTAATCATGCATATTTTCATCGTTATTAAAGTCTTTAAATAGAAATGGTTTTGCTCCATGTATCTTTTATAAGTTTATAGTTATATGCAGTTGCGTAGCGTGGGCTTAGTCATTTGGGGCGTCGACACCAGTCATTAATCTGCTAAATCAGCGTTTTTCAAGAGACAGGGGGAGAGAGAGAGAGAGAGAGATGGGGGGGGGGGGGTGTAAAGAGAGAGTAGAGTATAGAGAAAGAAAGATAGAGAGAGAGAGGGGGACAGAGAGAGTAGAGTATTGAGAGAGAGAGAGAGAGAAGGAGAAACGGCAGAAAGTGACGACTACAAGAGATTATCTTGAAAGCACTGGCGCACTGGTGGGGGGGGGGGGGGGGCGCCAGCCCCCCCCCCAAATAAAATTGAACCATGACTTATTTTCAATTCCATATACAAATGGTTTATAAATGTTCGTGATATCACATGATTTTCAACAAAATGCGCGTTTCTCCATTTATGTTGCAAACTGACACATTCCCAAATGGCCAGGAAGAGCATATGTTTTTTTTAATAGTCACTAAGGGCCGTTGCCACTAACAGTAACACTAGTAAAAAAAATCATTTCCAGAAGCAACTGTGACAAGCACTGCCGGGCGTTTCATACTTACATCATGTAACACTGCACATGTACCGTTAAGGGGCCCAGTGGGGAAATTGAATTCAGACAAGATTAAGAGAAGTGAACGGTACAACGAATCGTCTTCTTTCTCTAATAATTTAATGAAACGGCAAAGCTTCCGCGCTTCGGGAGGGGGGGGGGGCAACTGGATTCAGACTAGGATTAAGAGGCGAGAATGGTAGAACGAATCGTCTTCCTTCTTTAATAATTTAATGAATTGTCAAAGCTTCCGCGCTTTGCGCGGGAGGGGGGGGGGGGGGGGACTGAATTCAGACAAGAACACGATGCACCGAATCGTCTTCTTTCTCTGATAATTTAATGAAACGTGAAAACTTCCGCGCTTCGCGCAGGATGGGCGAATATGAATTCAGACAAGGATTAAGAGTAATAATTTATTGAAACGTTAAAGCTTCCGCGCTTCGCGCGAGATGGGCGAAAATTAAATCAGACAAGGATTATGATTCGGAACCGGCACAATGAATCGTCTTCTTTCTCTAATAATTTAATGAAGTGTCAAAGCTTTCGCCCTTTGCGCGGGAGGGGGGAAAACTGAATTCAGACTAGAACACGATACAACGCTTCGTCTTCTTTGTCTTATATTTTAATGAAACGTGAAAGCTTCCGCGCTTTGCGCGGGATGGGCGAAAATGAATTCGGCCAAGGATTAGGAGTAAAAATTTATAGAAAAGTTAAAGCTTCCGCGCTTCGCGCGAAATGGGCGAAAATGAAATCAGACAAGGATTAAGAGTAATACTTTAATGAAACTTCAAAGTTTCCGCGCTTCACGCGAGATGGGCGAATATGAATTCAGACAAGGATTAAGAGACGGAACCGGTACAATGAATCGTCTTCTTTCTCTAATAATTTAATGAAGTGTCAAAGCTTTCGCGCTTTGCGCGGGAGGGGGAAAACTGAATTCAGACAAGAACACGATACAACGCTTCGTCTTCTTTGTCTTATATTTTAATGAAACGTGAAAGCTTCCGCGCTTCGCGCGGGATGGGCGTAAATGAATTCAGACAAGGATTAGGAGTAAAAATGTATTGAAACGTTAAAGCTTCCGCGCTTCGCACGAGAACAGCGAAAATTAAATCAGACAAGGATTATGAGTCGGAACCGGTACAATGAATCGTCTTCTTTCTCTAATAATTAAATGAAGTGTCACGGCTTTCGCGCTTTGCGCGGGAGGGGGGAAAACTGAATTCAAACAAGAACACGATACAACGAATCGTATTCTTTCTCTAATAATGTAATGAAACGTGAAAGCTTCCGCGCTTCGCGCGGGATGGACGAAAATGAATTCAGACAAGGATTAAGAGTAATGATTTATTGAAACGTCAAAGTTTCCGCGCTTCGCGCGAGATGGACGAAAATAAATTCAGTCAAAGGATCAAGAGTAATAATTTAATGAATCGTCGAAGCTTCCTCGCTTCGCACGGGATGGGCAAAAATGAATTCAGACAAGGATTAAGAGTGATGATTTATTGAAACGTCAAAGCTTCTGCGCTTCGCGCAAGATGGGCGAAAATGAATTCAGACAAGGATTAGGAGTAATATTTTAATGAATCGTCAAAGCTGCCTCGCTTCGCGCGGGATGGGCGAAAATGAATACAGACAAGGATTAAGAGTAATAATTTATTAATCGTGAAAACTGCCGCGCTTCGCGCGGGACGGGGGGGGGGGGGGGGGAGAGAACTGGATCCAAACAAGAATTGAGAGTCGAGAATGGTACAACTGATCGTTTTCTTTCTCTAATAATTTAATGAATTGTCAAAGTTTCCGCACTTTGCGCGGGAGGGGGGAGACTGAAAAATAACTTAGTTCCTGGCCCCGGGATTATAGGGTTAAATTTGTAGACATTTGGACATTGGCATTAATATATTTGTCGGTAATTGGTTGCTCGTTTTGTCGGTAATCGGTGGCCTCTACACCCTCCCCACTCCCCCACTGACAAAGATCTAGCGACGCCCCTGATAACGACACAGTTTATACACTCGAGAAACATTTTGCAAGTACTACTGATGAAGTACCGGACCACCGTCTTTGTGCATTGTGCAGCATCAAAGCATATACAACGTCTCAAGACGTGACAGATCACTTTTCTCTAACTTTTAACCAATTAGAAGACCTCTTTTTTTCCAGGAAGTGCCGGTGGACATTAATGCGCCAAATGTGGTTCTCAAATTGCAAAAGACCTCTACTCTTGGAAGGGGTAGGAGAAAGCAATTATTTTTACATCATATTACTCCAGGAAGTGCCTGAAAATGCGACTAATTTGGTTCTAAAATTGCAAATGCTTCTTATTCTGGGAGGGGGTTCTGACCCACCACCGCTTGGTCGCTCCGCTCCCTCGCCGCTAAAGCCTCGTTCTGTCGCTTCATCGTTTTACATATATTTAACCATGCCATTTTGTGCCCCCCCCCGGTAAGAAATTCCTGGATCCGCCACTGATGCCTATGCCCCTTGAGCTTCGGGGGCTCCACCCCTTGTTGCCCCTAGACCCCACTTTGCGAAACGTTCAGCGGGGCCTGCATGTTAGAGTGGGGTGCTGCGGATTTTTTTTTGTCAGCTCCGCCAAACGTTTTTGCTCATTACGCCACTGCTTGACAGGTATTACATTTCTTTGGATCTGTTTTAGCTATACAGTATAGTTTAGAGTTTGTTCAGTAATTAAGCGATGAGATCGATAGGATTTGGGGGGAATGATATTGTGGAAACTTTCATAAATTCAAAGTGAAATCCATACGTGCATAACAAGCT